ATATATATATATATATATATATATATATATATATATATATATATATATATATATATATATATATTGGAATTTTCACAACAATGTTGGATGGTTTAAGCCGGGCACTTTGGCTTTGGCTAAGCCGTCCAGAATTGCTCAGCAATTAGCTTGTAGTGGACTTGAGGCCATCACGATGGTCTCAGAGTCAGCAATACAAAATGCAGCATGCAGCGCCTGCAATGGTCTCAGAGCCATCACAAAAGGTTTGAAAGGTACTGTATTGTTCATGCAGTGAGGAGACGCTGCTTTGTTCTTGCAGAGAGGGAGCACTGTTGATTCTGTGGAAGATATAAGTTATCGTTGAACTTATATTATCATTCCTTATAATTTTAATACTAGACAAAGACACTTCTTAGCCTTAGAGAGGCTTAACCCGCCTCCTCCAAAGTATCAAAAAAATTAGGATACTAGTCGACAATAGTTCCATGATATTTAGCTTACCGATATATCGCTCAATTTATAAGCATAAATAAGATAATATGTTATCTCTTATTTATTTTGAATAGGTAGGTATTATTGCAATTTATCTATCCTCAAATTACTTTTTCATCCATATTTTGTGAATATGGTTTTTGAGATTCATATTCTCTTATATGACTTGGATTCCCTATCTTTTAGAAATATCCTTTAATTGAAGTTTTTATAGATTTTTAAGTATATGTACATAAATGGTTGGAAAGCCGTTTGGGCTATTAATATTTTTTCTGCTGTGAAAATCTTTTTTTGAAACTAATTTAGCATATAAGATATCTATCATGTCTACACAATGCATGAATTAGATTTTATAATACATAAATTTCTAAATATCATGTTTACATATTATATTTAAACTCTCCTTTTCATATCTTCTTATATTTTTTACACAATCCTATCTACTTTCTATTTGGTGCCAAGCTATTATATTTATTTCCTATGATAAAAATTTATATTTTAATATATTTGAGGAGTCCGAAATCCTCCCCCTCTTTAGGGATTTCTCCTTACGGAAGCTAAGGCTATTTGGAGTGTGATGGATCCTTTAACTCTTCTTTAGATATGACAAAGTATTAGTTATATTTCAAGTTCCCATGGAGCAATAATATTATAGCTGGTTGTCGGGCAATCGAGGCTTCTTATATTTTCATAAGAATATCCCATATTATTTGAAAATGTAAAATACCTTATATTTTATTTAATATTACTAAACTTATTAAATTGATAAATATGATTAAATCCGAACGGAACTATTAAGGATCAAACCTTTGTTTTTCTTACTTGGTCGATTAAAGTAAAATAGTCTAAATCAAAATCAATTCGGATCTATCTAATCAAATCGATTCAAGATCGATTTATAATTTTAAATAATTTAAAATATATATTTTTTAAATGAACATGTTCGATTCAACTGGATCGAACGAGAATCTTAGTCCAATAGAACGATTATTTATAAGATTGAGCATTTTGGTTGATTTGATTAATCGATTTTGGTTGAATCGTTTAAAGACTTGTAATAGGAAACTCAACCAAATTGATATCTTTTAAATTAAATTGAACGGATTAACTGAACCAAAGAAGAGTACCTCGAATTAGAATCATTTATAGTTTTCAAAATCAAAGAAGAGTACCTCGAATTAGAATCATTTGTGCGTACACTGAAATGCCATAAATGCACCACAAAAGGGAATGTGATGCGATAGAGTAAGCAAATCGTATGGATTAATTACTTAATAATGGGCCAAAAACACCTCGAAACCCCAATCAAGAACGACATGATTCGAGATAATGGATCGAGCGCACCAAGGGACGTACGCAGCGTCTGATTCCACGCCCGAATGGGAAGATACGGAAAGAAAGCCACAACTTGCAACCAACGCAGGCAGCCTTTTCTTCTTCCTCCTCTAATTCAGTTGTACTTTGTAATATCCATATTAATTCCCAGACAAAATTCCTCGGATTTGCCTAACCACAATTACGACGAAGGAAGGAAGGAAGGAAGGAGATTTCACCTCCATCAAATTACGTGTACGTAAGCTTCGGCGCGAGTTCGATTACAAAAGACCCCCCCGCCACTCTCTTCCATGGCATTCGTTGCATTGTTGCACCAGTCTCTCCTTCTTGTCTTCCTGTCGCTGTGGGATCCGAGATGGGAACCATGATCGGTGTGATGCTGCTGCTGGTGGTGTTCGTGATGCCCTTGGCGTGGGGAGTAGGAGCCCGCTGCGATTTGTACAACGGGAGCTGGGTGGAGGACGAGTCGTACCCGCTCTACGATTCGCGGAGTTGCCCCTTCGGTCGCAAGGAGTTCGACTGCCTGCGCTACGGCCGGCCCGACACCAAGTACCTCAAGTTCCGGTGGGAGCCCGCCGGGACATGTAATCTCCCCAGGTTGGAGGCTGATTGATTTTATGAGCCTTTTATCTTCTCCCTGTTGGCTTGACTTACTTGGGAGATGGCGTATCCGCGAACAGGTTTGATGGTGTGAAGCTGATGAGGACGTTGCGAGGGAAGAAGGTGATGTTTGTGGGAGACTCATTGACTTTGAATCAGTACATTTCGTTCCTGTGTTTGCTCCATGCGGCTGTGCCCAACGCCACCCTCTCCTCCTCCTCGGATAATCGCTCCCTCTCTGCAGTAACATTTGAGGTCTCTTCTACCCCTTCTTCTTGCGGCACGTATCATATCATACCGATTATTAATGATGGTTAGTCCTGTGTGAGTACATGCTAAAACTTTAATCATGAGAACGGGCCATAGAACGAATTGACATGATCCTCATCGATGGCACTTGTCGATCCTGATGATTGAATGATAGGAGGAAGTAGTGGAATGAAATGATTGAGTATATATAGAGTGGAAGCACTTGATCAGAACCAGCACGGGAGTTGACCTTCGTTGAGTTCATGTATCTTAGTTGCGTTACAGGCCAACACAATTAGCTCATGAATAGAAGTTGCAAGAAAATAGCTAAAGATCAAACATTGCTTCAGGATTACAACCTTACGGTGATGTACTACAAGTCTCATTACTTGGTGGACATCGTGAAAGAGAACATAGGACGTGTCCTAAAGCTGGACTCCGTACAAATTGGTGGATCCATCTGGCTCACCGCCGACGTGCTCGTCTTCAACACATGGCGCTGGTGGCTATCCACGGGATCCCGCCAAGAGTACGTGACAAGCCACCCCCTCTCTCTCACATTGTTTTCATGAATTCAGCAATGGATATAGAACTTGTGCTCTGGTGAATGCAGGTGGGACTACATGCAAGATGGCGACCGGACAGTGAAGGACATGAACAGGACCGTGGCCTTCTCCAGAGCATTGGCTACCTGGGCAAACTGGGTAGACTCGAGCATCAATTCATCCACTACGCGAGTGTTCTTCCAAGGGATCTCACCAGACCATTACAGGTAAGGACCATAAATGATACATTTGCATGAGACAGATCAACTGCACTGTAGAGGATTTGTTTGGTAACATTGACCGCTTGTGTTCGTTCGTTGAATCAGAGGAACAGAGTGGGGCGAGAAGGGAAGCACCTGTGAAGGAGAAACAGATCCGTCGAGTCCATCTGCATACCACGGAGGTCCGATTCCACAAGTAGCCATAGTGAAGCAGCAGCTGAGCAAAATGTCGAAGCCTGTGTACCTGTTCGACATTAGCTATCTCTCTCAGCTTCGGAAGGATGCTCATCCATCCAAGTATAATGGCGTCAAATTCCGCGTTGATTGCACCCATTGGTGCGTTGGTGGTCTGCCAGACACATGGAACCTGCTCCTATACGCAGCTCTTGTCCATTCCATATGAGATGATTAATATGTTAACCTAGCAAATGCTAATAACTCATATGGACTGCGGTATCATATAAGTCGTCGTATCTTAATTAACAGAGTCTTATTGGAAGATGATTCTAAATGATGTCAAGGTGACCTAAGTTCATTTCCTGAAATGCCTACATACATAATGATTTGTGTGTGTTAGAGAGCATGTAATCATGCGATGGGTCATAGCCCATCAGCTACGTGGAGGACAAGTAACCCTGTCAACCAGGGGGTCCGTTGTCGTTTTGACGTATGCTCTCCTCTGTGAGCGACAGGCTATAAGGAGTTGCTCGGGCCAACCCTGCCAGCTACTGGGGGTAGTGGTCCCCAAGTCGCTAATCATACCTGTGCCTCCTCTTATATTGTTACGGGTTAGTCATCCACGTAGATGAACAACAAAAGAAGAGTGTTACGATAATTACGAAGGGTCCCCCTACTGCCCAGTTATATAAGTTTTGGGGCTCGAAAAAATATTGAATCTTCTATCTCCACTATTTCAAAATTAACTTGATTATCAAAGGGGTGAGTCGAAAATTTTCCCTCGACATCGACATTTGTGCAATACCCCATGGAGACCAGAGCCCACTTTGACCTAGCCTTGAACACCCGAAAGATACCTCGGATCATCCTCGGCCACTTCACTTTTGCAGTGACTACCTTATAGGATTGCCACAAGGGACACTCGGACGACTTCGTGCCTTCGGGTCAAGTTTGGGTCGTGCTGACTCCTAGTTGATAGCATTAAAGCTGTAACAATTTTAGAGATAGAAGGAAGGCCTAAATGTCGCAAGAACGTCTACCCATGAATCCTCTCAATGAGTGCTTTAGCAATGAGGCATAATCGTTGACACACAACACCGTTATGCAGGGAGGGCAGCTCCCCTCCTTCCCTTAGGTGGATGTGCTCAGACCCGAGGCATTATTGGTGCTCTATTCAACAATCTCATACTCTCACTTCTGAGGATGAGCATCAGGCACCTGGTTATTCCCATCGAGGCCTTTTTGAGTCTTACGCATCAGGTGCAAACCCTCATCAGGATGATGCAAGCCATTGCCCCACTCCTACCCCAACTAGCTCAATAGGCAACCCCTCCTTCACA